TACATAGTAACATTAATGATTTACATAACTATTTTTCAAAAGAAATGAAATAGCAACATGACATAATCTGTACTAAGTATAATCATGATAGAAAAGTAGAAGCTAACTAATAGCAAAACTAAATTATGATAAATCATCGTTAAAACAATTATTTTGCCAATACTATTTGAAACAGACAGGATATAGCTAATAAATATGATGGACAGAGGCCATGTTCATTCACTCAAGAGTTAATTTACTTTAAAATAAAACATTGTGTATGTGAGCTTTTGCATAGGCATGCTGAATCAAAACACAATTTATCTGTTATTTCCCTGTTCAGGAGCTCATGTTTTGACCCAAGTTTCATTTGGGCCATTCATAGATAGTTATTTGGAAATGGTGCTGACTATGCTATAGAATTTAAGGGGCTAACATGTGTAATTGGACGATTATATGTTCAAAAAGACATCTGTCAATAATTTCTTGACCTATTTATGTTTAGATGGTTTTGTACTTAAATTTCATCGGTGCAGAAAAGTAGGAAAAGATGGACCATGACCAGACTGGATGCGAAACAGCCCCTGAAGGTCGTATGCTCTGCGTCAACAACTGTCCTTTTTTGGAAGTGCAGCTACCATGAACATGTGTTCTAAGTGCCACAAAGACATGATGTTGAAACAGGAGCAGGCCACACATATTTTATTGATGTTGTTATTATATTTTTATATGTGATGGGGGACTTGGAGTATTATCTCTGCAGTTAGAGAGACTGCATATTTCATGTGATTGGCGAAAATATATGCCCCAGTGTTTTTTAAATCTTTAAATTTCTGCTACTTTGGTAGAAGTTGGTGGTGTAAGCATTATAAGGCTTTTATTTTGTTCCCTATCTATATGTCTGTAATAGTACATGTCAAAATGGTATGTGCAATTGACAGTTGATTTATGAAGGATCCATAAACATGAGTAGATTCTATATTATTATAGTTTTTATGTGCTTGTTCTGCTTGTATTATTATAGTACTTCTGATTGTATATTATGATTTCTTACACAAGTAGGAACACATAAATGTGACACTAACCACAATTTCCTATGTCAGGGTATGGAAGACTTGGCTAAGGCATTAGACTTGGGTATGGAGAAAAGTGAAATATGATTTGTGGAGAAATGAGAGAAGAGAGGAGAAGAGAAGGAGAAAAGTGAAATATCAGAAGAACGAAAGATATAGAGAAGAGAAGAGAGGGAAAAATGAAAAAAAAGTTTGGGACCAATGAGTAACTGACACATGGATGAGAATGAAGCTCTTAACATCTCTAACAATATAAATATGTTGATTACTAAATTATCCTTTTTGAAAGCAAATTGAAATATTTGTTATTGGATAATTTTGTAATAATGGTGGTATATTTTTGCAATGGGTAGATAGTAGATATTATTTAAATAATATCGAAAGTGCTCTCATTTTTGTGTTGAGACAGACTATGCCTAACAAATTTAACTTTATATGAGGCCTTCCACAAATGATAAAATTGGTCTTTTATATAAGAATCTTGTTAGTATGTACTTACATAAATTATTATTCAATAAAAATTCATCAATTTTTTATTTTATTAGTAAAAATTTATAATTTAATATGGTGTAACATGATGATGATTGATTTGTCATTGCATGTTCCATTTTTTCTTATATAAAATTGATCTTAATTAGTAAATATTTTAATACTCGATAAATTTAATTTAACAAAAACATTATTATACTCATTCAATATATTTAATGGCTCATATGATTACATTTATATGTCTAAATAAATATCCTTAATTTCACTGTGTAAATGTCCATTAAAATTTGAAACAAAATTCATAGAAATAAAATTTAAAAACTTAGCCGTAGATACAAAATATATGTCACAAAAATTGTAACGCCAACTCATGTTGATAGAGTAACTAGCAAGCATTTAAAAATACCAGTTTCAAATTTCCTCGGAAATATTGCTGTCAAACAAAAAGTTCCTTAGAAATAGCAGTTATCATTTTCAAAATTTCTCAGATAGTTTCGAAAGTTTCATCACTTCTGCAAGTTTCCTCCGATCCAATTACTTCCTTGTAAGTATCTCTCTTCTCAAAGCAAAATTTAAATAGCGGTTACACTCTCGTAACACTGACATCTCTTACAAAAGAGTGTCAGTGTCTACATTTTAATTTATTTATTTTTCAAAATTATTATTATTTATATGTAGCAGTGTCGTGTTTTTTGCGTTCGTTTTTGTTATTCAAATTTTAACACACAATTCTCTATTTGATTGTTATATTTGTTTTGTTAGAGTAAGCAATGGCGAACCAGAATCAAAACCTGATTCAAAACCTGATTCAACGGAAGCAACGAGATGATTTTTCTTTGAAAGAAACAACACCCAACATCAGTGCCGGAAGAGTGATAAGTGGTGACAGGCTCCCGACAGCATTTGATCTTGTTGAACAAATGCAGTTTCTTTTCGCAAGGGTTGTGAGAGCGAAAGCGTTACCAGAATCGGGTAAATCCGATACTTGCAACCCTTTCGTGGAAGTGAAACTTGGAAGTTTTGTAGGAACAACAAAGGTGTTTGAGAAAAATCTAAACCCGGAGTGGAACCAGGTTTTCGCTTTTTCTAAAGAGAGGATTCAAGAACAAGTTTTGCAGATTGTTGTAAAGGAGAAAGATGTTCCTGATGCGTTCATCGGCCGAGTCACGTTCATTATTTCTGATATTCCAATGAGGTTTCCGCCTAATAGTCCTTTGGCGCCGCAATGGTATAAGCTTGAGAATCAGAATGGTGTGAAGCTTGATCAAGGAGAGTTAATGGTGTCTGTTTGGATTGGAACACAAGCTGACGAGAGTTTTCCGGATGCTTGGCATTCAGATGCAACGACTACGAGCGACGAGAACATCGCGTACACTCGCTCGAAAGTGTATATCTCTCCGAGGCTTTGGTATCTTCGAGTTACCGTGATTCAAGCGCAAGATTTGTTACTGAAAAACAAAAGTGGAAACAATGGTGAAATATTTATTCAAGGTGTTCTCGGAAATTTGGCGTTGAGAAGCCGACCAATGAGGATTCATCCGAACCCGATATGGAATGAGGATTTGATGTTTGTTGCAGCGGAACCCTTTGATGATTCCTTGCTTTTGAGCATTGAGCAAAGTCAAGGAAACTCCAACAAGCATGACGGTTTGGGGAGTTGTGTGATTCATCTTAAGGATGTGGAGAGAAGAATCGACGCGACTCCAACGGCTAGTGTTTGGTACAATCTTCAAAAGCCTAAAGAACTCGAAGGCGAAGAGGGGGTGAAATTTAGTACGAAATTGAATTTTCGAATCTCTTTGGATGGAGGGTACCATGTTCTGGATGAAGCAACTCACTATAGTAGCGATCTAAGGCCGTCGTCTAAGTATTTGAACAAACCAAGTATCGGTGTTCTGGAGTTGGGAATCTTGAATGCCATGGGACTATCTCCAATGAAGAAGGATCGAACTGATGCGTATTGTGTGGCGAAGTATGGTCCTAAATGGGTGAGAACAAGGACTATTGTTGATAGTTTCTCGCCAAGATGGAATGAGCAATATACTTGGGAAGTTTATGATCCTTGCACCGTGATCACAATTGTCGTGTTTGATAACGGAAACGTACACGGAGGCGGGAAAAATGGCGACGGAGGAGTGGATAAGAGAATCGGTAAGGTAAGGATTAGGCTTTCAACACTTGGAAGTGATAGAATCTATACTCATTTTTATCCACTTATAAACTTGCACACTCAAGGAGCAAGGAAAATGGGAGAAATTCAATTGGCAGTGAGATTTTCTTGTCCTTCTTTGTTGAATGTTATGCAAACCTATACTCAACCTTTGCTCCCGAAAATGCATTACGTATGTCCGTTGTCGATGTTTCAGCTCGATAGTCTGCGAAACCAAGCTGCTGCGATCACGATTATGAGGTTCAGAAGAGCCGAACCACCTCTTAGTAAAGAGGTTGTTGAGTACATGCTAGATATGAGGGCAAATGTATGGAGCATGAGGAGAGGAAGAGCTCAGTTTTACAGGATCGCGAGTCTTCTCAGCGGTTTAGTTGGGTTTGTTAAGAAATTCGAGGAGATTCGCAGTTGGAAGAGTTCATTTACAACAATAACCAGTTATTTCTTCTTTCTGTTTATCATTTTCAAGCCAGGAGTTATTTTGCCGTTCATGTTTACTATCTTATTCCTTAAAGGAATTTGGAACTTCCGAATTAGGCCGAGGGTTCCTTCTCATATGGATACGAGATTGTCCCATGCTGATACAGCAACTATGGAAGAGCTTGAAGAAGAGTTTGATCCTTTTCCAACTAAATTCAGCGGTGGGAATCTTCAGAAAAGGTACGACAGATTGCGAGGCATTTCGGGGAGAGTGCTCGCTGTGATGGGCGATTTGGCGACTCAAGGAGAGAGAGTGCAGTCTCTTATCAGCTGGAGGGATCCAAGAGCAACAGCTTTGTTTCTGATTTTCTGCGTGGTTGCTATGATTTTGACTTATATCATTTCTTTTCGCATTATCGTCTTCCTTTCGGTCAGTTATGTGTTAAGACCTCCAAGGCTTCGCTTTGATTTGCCAGCGTTTCCGCAAAACTTCCTCAGGAGGATGCCTGCAAAGTCAGATGGCATGTTATGAGCTGCATTCGTCTTCATTTTTTTGCTTTTTCCTTATTTTAATAATCTGTTTGGTTTTTTTTCCCTATGTTTAGTAATTTGCATTTGAGTGTTTCAGAAATGACACTGTCTTTCAATTTCATTTTTTTGTTTCATCTTTTGATTAATCAATGGAATCGAGCACTTTCAAACACTATATAAACTTGCGCGAGATAGATCGTTGCGAAACAACTGTTTATTCATTGATGCTGTATGGACTAATTTACAGAAGTAACAAACTATGATGATCATACATATAACAAATAAGTTATAATCCTAATTTAGCATCTAAAGTTTTTTATTCTGAAGAAAATAAACAAGTATCACAGCATGCTATCAGTTTGAGCTGGGAGCCTCTTGAAGAAGTTGCTTGGAACAGAAGGCATCTTGCTCCGAAACTTTGGATGCCGCAAAAAGTACAACCCAGCAGCCAGAGCCACCACTCTTGGTGGTGTTGCATAGAGAATCACCGCAGAACATAAGCTGAACATTATAAAGAGACTAGTTGCTCTGGTATCTCTCCAACTCAGTAGAGAATGAAACCTCTCTCCTTGTGTAGCTATGTCTCCGACAACAGTTTGAATCCTTCCCGCAACACTTCTTAGTCTATCATACCTCATTCTTACAACATCATGAGGTTTAGAAGTTGGAAATGTATCGAACTCTTCATCAAGTTCGTCGATGTTTACTCCTTCAGCCCATGAGAGTTTAGTATCCATATGAGTTGGATTTCTCGGACGAAACCGATAGTTCCATAAACCGATCAAGAACATGTAGAGAAATATCGTTGGAAGAATCAATTCTGGATACAGAACCAATATCAGAAACAGAACGTGAACTAGAACCGACGTGACCGGATTCTTCCAATTGCAAACTTGGTTGAACCATTTCCCCGTTGTGATCACGCTAGAGAAAAGCGACATGATGCGGAAAAAGTTCGCTTTGCTTCTTCTCATGCTCCACATATGAGAATCAACATCCAACATGTACTCAACTGCTTCCTTCCTAAGAGGAGGTTCGGCTCTACCAAGCCTCGTAGCGACAATATTCATCGCTTGGTACCTTAAATTTTCAACTTGATTAACTGTGAAAGGGCTTAAATAATGCATCTTTGGAAGCAAAGGTTGTCCGTAAATGTAAACCGTGTTGGCTAATGAGAGAGTAGTGAACCTTATTGCTAGTTGAAGCTCACCCATTTTCTTGACACCATGTTGATGCAAAACAAGAAGTGGATAAGAATTTGTGTAAATCCTATTAGCTTCTAATGTTGAGAGCCTAATCCTTACCTTTCCAATTCTTGAATCTCTAGGAGCTTTTTCTTTTTCTTTTTCTCCGGCACCACCGAGATGGCAATTATCGAAAACTCCTAGAGTTATCACAGTGCAAGGATCATAAACCTCCCATGTGTATTGTTCATTCCATTTAGGACTAAATGTGTCGAGAATCGTTCGAGTTCTGATCCATTTCTGACCATACTTGGCTACACAATACGCGTCTGTACTTCCACGACTATTGTTCATCTTCATTGGAAGAAGCTTTTGTGCTCCTAGGATCCCTACTTCAAGCATACCTATAGGCTGCTTCCATAGTTGTCTAGCGGTTGGTCGATGATCACTTGCATACAAAGTCGATTCGTCTAAGACATGGTATCCACCTTCCAGGCAAATTCTCATGTGAATCTTACTCGAAAATTTAACCTCATTTCTTCTATCACCTTCCATCATTCCAAAACCATATTTCTCGAGATTGAACCATCGAGAATGAACTGGCCTATGGTCTAGCCGCTTCTCAAAGAGTGTCAACGGCAAGATTATCTTTCCAAGTACCTCATCTTTCGATCCATGCACACGATCCTCCATGGTAATCGTCAATTGCTCCTCAAATGGTTCGGCCGCCACGAAAACCAAATCTTCATTCCAAACTGGTGTAGCAGTTGGACATACCTGTTAGAATATAAGAAAATATCTTTGGTGAGTATCTTACAGTATCTCTTAAAATCGACTTTTCGTGGTTATATAAACTTTGAAATGACAATGGATTTGATAAAAACCATGACTTTAACAATACCTTAGTCCCTAGTACTTGGCTTCCCATCTGAGCTTTGATAAAAACCTCCGGCCGGCGGTTTCTATCGCTCGATATCACATCTTGTGCTTCAATCACATTAACCCTTAGATACCATAGTTTCGGAGACACGTAAACCTTTGATCTGATATTGAAAACACCTTCACCATAAACAGTTGCAGCATCAGAATGCCAAGCTTCTGAGAAAGCTTCATCAGCCTGTGTTCCATTCCAAACCGCAAGCATGATATCGCCTCGAACCTTTCCGTCGCCTCTTCTGTCTTCAAGTCTATACCATTGCGGAGCCAATGGACTATCCGGTGGAACTCTAGTTGGAACTTCATTGAGGTCAAAAACTACTCTTCCAATGTGATCATCTCTACCAACCGTTTCTTTATCCTTCACAATCACTTCCAAAACCGAAGATTGAATTTGATCTTTGGAGAAAGCATAGACTTGATTCCACTCCGGATTCGATTTCTTATCGATATGCTTTGTTCTTCCTTTATAGTTCCCTAGCCTCACTTCAACATAAGGATCACAGGTTGAAGTGAGAGTGCTCGTGGAGAGATTCTTGGCTTTCACGACACGAACATACAAATAAAACATCTGCTCAACTAGGTCATACGCGCTTGTTGATCTTTCGCCACCACTCATCCATCCTCTCCCACCATTAGGCCACCTTTCACCGAGCTGCGGACTCGTGTCCCTTAGATTGTAGTCCTCTTCATGATGACTACTAGGATGATTGAGATTTTGAACTTGAGGGCTCATTGATTGCATTGTAACTTGATTATTAGCATTACCTCCTGGTCTTCTCTTTATTGAAATCCTCGGCTGCATGATCTTTTCGCCTTGTTCAACAAGATTCGAGCAAGGAATTTTCACCTTTTCGAGTAATGTTCAGTCGAGAATAGGCCTCGGCTCGTGGTGGATTGAGACTTGAATTGTTTGAGTCTGATTAAGTTTGTGATTCAAAATGGAGTTGAGGTTGTAAGTGTTTATGGAATAGGAAGCTAGAGCCTTAAGTAGCTATTCACAAGTAATGAAATATTCGATTCTTAATCAACCAAATTGTAGTTAAGAATGAAAAAAATGGAAGTTCACATAGTTAAGGTTGTTGTTTCACTTTGTCACACACTAGTAGAAGTTCTTTGGTTTCAAGGAAGGAATAGTTTGATGAAGAAGCTGCATTAGAGTAACTAATATTAAGTTCTTTTTCATAAGTTTGTGTTAATTCAATACTTAATAATGAAGATATATGTATGCAAAAATATGGTTAAGTGAACATATCCTTAAATTGAATTGAACTGAACAAAAAGAAGAAGATAAAATCATTTAAATGATTAATGAATTAAACCAAATATTATAAATAATTTAGTTAATTAATTTAAATTGTTGAATTAAATATTTTTATAAATAAAAATTCCATTTTTTTAAAACATAATCCAAAAATATGTTTCAGTAAAAAAATCATATTAAGTTTATTTTTAAAAAAAATCACTTTTGAAAATGATTTTTTCTCAAAATAAAATTTTCTTGTGTACCTAATTGGAGGCATTTGACCCCACTAATATATACTATCAACTTGTTACATTTTATTAAATTAGAATATTTTTTATATTTACTTCTATTAAAATTCTTTATTTCCCCCACTAAAAATATAAAATTACTTTATCTGTGTAAAGTAAAAATACAATAATATATGTAACCAAAAAAATGTACAATGACATTAGAAATAAATTATGTTCTGGCCTGGGTCCCGCTTGGTCGGGAAGGTCCAACCTATTTATACTTGATTAAAGGCCCAAACGAGTTCCCCTCATCTGTGTCGAGCACAAGGCCTCCGTCGGCTAGACATTTCCCGCCGGGCAAGACACTCCCTCCGTCGGGCAGAAAGGCGTGTACCTCACACGTTCTCCCCTCCGCGGGGACACGTCACCAACCAATTGCCCACCTCCGAAAGAGCAAGTCAAACCCACCTCCCGGGGATCACGGGACAATTGAACTAGGGCGAACACCACATTCTGGTCTTCACTACGCCACGTAAACCCTAGCAGTCACTTGGGTTGGCCCTGACCATTCAGCCCCACTCAAATGATCGTTGGCCCTGCGCTGGGGTCTCTCTATAAATACCCTCTTTCACAAGAGGGTCAGGTATTCAATTCTCATCCCCTTTTCTGTATTTGCTCTCATTCTGTTCAATTCCTTACTTTGCCATCAGAGTGGCTTGCAGTAGACCCCCCTTCTCGTCTTCAACACCGGTGGACAGGCGTTAAATCAAGCACGCGTGACAGTCCTGCGATTCCCTTCTGATCAGGTCAAATCAAATTATATATGATTATTAAACACATAAACATGAAAATATGTATTTGGTAGCTGAAAAATAAAAATAAATTATACTTAAATATATACATATTTAAATAGGACATCGAGCTATCTTTATTTTTTTAGATATAAATTAATATATTTTTTCTATTCTTCAATTATTAATTTAATTATTATTATTATTTAAGTTGTTGATTTATAAATATCAACAATTTGTTTTTCTATTAAAACTAATTAAACTCTAATTAAATTACACATTTAATTCAACTAGCACATTTAATGTGAGCTATCTCTGATTATCTTAATTTTATTATTATTATTATTATTATTATTATTTTGCCCCCACCAAATTTTTTTTTTGAATCCGTCCCTATATATATATATATATATATATATATATATATATATATATATATATATATATATATATATATATATATATATATATATATATATATATATATATATATATATATATATATATATATATATATATATATATATATATATATATATATATATATATATATATATATATATATATATATATATATATATATATATATATATATATATATATATATATATATATATATATATATATATATATATATATATTTTAAATTTAAAATTTGTTTTATCGTGGAATTTCATTTTTTATTTGAAAAGTTGATTTTTCAAAATATTAAAAAAAATTAAAAACTTAATTTTTTTTCCCTATAACCTCTATTTTCTGAAAATAAAAACTTTTTTTAAAATTTTTCTTTAAAACAAAAAAATATTAATAAATATTTTTATTTAAAAATTAAAATATGTATTTTTCTAAAAAGTAAATAAATTAGTTTTGAAAAAGTTCAAAAATATATAATCAATTTCTAAATGAAAATTGATTATAAATTAATTTATAATTACAAATTAATTATAAATCAATTATAACCTGAATTGTACCACTTTAACAATTAACTTTTCTTTTTATTAAAATAGTTATTTAAAATTGAGTCATGGTTTAGTGCATTTTATTTTATGAATCATAAATACTCTTATTTGCATAAAGTGAATAGTTGAAAGGATCAATGCTTTCTTGTATATGCAGCAATGCCAAAGGTAGTAATAAATTGAGGCTGCAGCCTTGCAACCTGCAACATAGCAAAGGAAGCTTTGGGGTTGTGTTTATATCCAAAGATACTTTCCTTGTGCTTTATTTATCCTCCTCCTTTTAGGATTTTGTTTATCATAATTGGTAATCTACATTTTTCTAATTTTGTTCTTTTTGTACTTAATTCCTGTTAAAGTTATTCAAATGGATGGTGCTATTTTTGGGGCTAGTCATTTCTGTAAAATAGGGTAACATCAACGTGGGAGGATGAGGTAAAAAAGAAGAAAGGATGTTTGGACAAGACTTAAAAATATATAATGTGTGCAGGTTTTAACATACGACCGGATACGATATTGGAAAATGTTAATATGGATATTGCAAATACAGTGATTTATCGTTTGGTTAAGTCATATTGCAATGATCATAATCATTATTAGTATCGCAATATATGTATCAATCAAAATAGCACAAGTTATTACGTGACTGCAATAGGACTACTATCATTATTTAAAATCCTTGTTTAGGAAAAATAACCTTTAAATTATTGTACAAAAACATAACATTGAAAGTTTTTTTTTTGGTCAAGGATTATATTATAGTAAATGCTAATTAATCAACTCGACATTTAACATATTTGAGGAAAGGAGTATTAGGAACATTCTATTTATAACACTCTTTTAAACAACTACTCTTTTATTGGATAATGTAGATCTTTTATTTTGAAAATAAACTATGTTTTGGATTGGACCTATGGTAGATTTAACGTCGAGTACAATTCAATTTAGTTTTAAGTCGAGAAGGGTTCAGAGTGCTGACCCAATTTGTTACTAGTGGAGAACACGTTCCCCTTATCGGAGGACACGTCACCAACTTACTCGCACGCCTCGTAGAACCATTCTGTCATTCGTGACGGGCAAGTCCGTCCACTATTTAGAGAGTGTGGAGTGGTTGACCCAGGACGATGAGCACGAGATGCTCATCCCTACTTGCACCTGAAAGTCCTGGTAGTTATTCAATATGGGCACAAACACTCAGCCCACAACGAAGACCATTGGTAAAGTGCCAGGGGTTCACTATAAAAACCCTCCTCTGCAAAAGGGTCAGGTATTTTATTATTTACCATTTCTTGCTCACCACTTCACCCGAATTAACTTAAGCATTAGAGTGTCTGCAGGTATCCCCCTCTTCGTCGACTGTCAAGGCCGCAGATATGTTGCTGGCCACCTATTCTGATCGACAAGTTAGATCAGTGGCACCGTCTCTGAGAAACCCGTTTCCCCATCTTTTCTTTCATTGAAACCAAAAGATCAAAACAAAAAACTTCAGAAACCAACCATGGTCGGTCAACACGACGACAACAACGTCGATCACGAAACCATCCTCTCTCTCGTTCGTGACGCCGATAACAACAATGTGTTAACTCATAAATTCGACGCCTGATTTAACTTAATGGAATAAATGAAGAAAATAAAGATTTTGGGAAGTCATGGTAGGCTTGGACAGGACAGTTTATTTTTGGAAGTCTAGTCGAAATGACCCTTGTGCCAGAAGGAAGGATCATTTTGGACTTAGAGAAATTTTCTAAGTCTGAAGGTGTATTTCGACGAGAAGGCCATTTGATGGCATCTTAGATTTGAAAATTCAAATTTGAATAAAGGATGAAACTTTGTTCTTATTCAGTTCCAAGAGAAGACACACGTGGAGTGCACTGAAAGAGTGAAGACTGTTGCACCCCAAAATTTGACCAATTTTTTCCAGATTTGGCTTATGTTTCATTTCATTTGCATTTGCATATCATTTATCGCATACTGTGCATTTTGTCAGTCAGATTGAATTTATCAGGATTTTAGCCGCTTTGCTCACGTTTTAGGCGATTCAAATAATTCAAACAGAAGTTCAGTGTCGAAATCGAGCGAAAAGCCGCTCTCCTCTTGATAATTCAATCCGTGTCGATAATATCGGCGCATTTCGGTACTCGCCCGTTTTTCCATGTCATTTTGCATTTATTTGCTATTTTTGCTTTGTATTTAATTATGTAGAAAGTATTTTAGATAGATTTTTTTTAATATAATAATCTTAGATTTCTCTTTTTTAGAATCATTTAGAAAGTAGTTTTTTTTAAATAGATTATTATTTGGTTTTGTTTAGGAAATAGTTTAAATAGGTTTTTTAATATTGTTTTTTTTAAATGGTTAGAATTGTTTTTTTTAGAATTTTTTGACATAGATTTTATTTGTTGGATTTTTATTAATTTTAAAATATAATATAATTTGATTTTTATTAGGCTTTTTATAATTTTTTAGAATTTAGTCTTTTAGAAGTTGTTTTTTTAATAGATTATTAAATTGATTTAATTTAGATTTTTAAATAGTTTAGATTTTTTTAAATAGGTTTTATTTTTTTATTATCAGATTTTTAT